CCTTTGCATTGTTCATTGCCGAATGTTTCCTATTCTACCTCTCTTAAATTTTATCTATTGAACCCTCTTTTTATGTGGCCATGTAAGTAATATTTTAATAGTTTGTTTGCATTCGTCTACTCACACTTTCAAACTTGAATCTTTGTGAGTGTGTATATGTCTTTATTAATCTATGTGTGTATGATTGCTTATATATGCCTTTCATTGTATGTATATGTGTCTGATATTATATTTTCTTTTTTTGGTCGTTGACATTTATTTCCTGTTTCGTTCGTGTTTTTGCGTGTTTATATATCTAAATGTGTCTAAGTGTTTGTATATTATAATCTGATTGCGTATGTATTGTCATTTGCAATATTTATTCTGCTCGCCCACATCATCACTTCAAATATATCTAAGTTGTGACAACATTTTACATTCCCATTAGATTAATGTTTATTCTAACCGAGATTTTGGCTTTTCAATTAAAACAAAATAAATAATAAAATATATGTATCTTTCCTCAGTTTCTTCTTTAAATAATTTTATAATATTTTAAACTTAATACTGGTTAAATTTAAAATTAGTAATTTTTATTTTTCAATTTTAAAATTTAATATTAATCAGTTGGAACGATTTTTATTCTAGTGTAACCCTAACATTAAGGTTCATTGTCAAGTTTTTGAATTTTCATATACTTATATTTTGATTGGTCATTCCAGTTTATGTAACAGCGTTTCCCCTATCGAGAGATGTTTGGTCGATTTGAACCTTTTAAAACTCTTTATTCTACATTCAACACCATCACTTGATAAGACACCAGTAGTGTTGAAACAAAATGGCTATTTTTGTGGTGATTTTATAATTTTTGAATTTATCTATATATATATATATATATATATATGTTTGTGTGTGTGTAGGATATTAAAATTATAAAACATTCTTTTTTCTTAGCTTTTAAATTGGAATGTAAGATCTAGTGAATTTTGTAGTGTGGAACAATCTCAGTAGTCCAAATTTTATTGGACTGCTGGTAGATGATCAAACCCGAATGGTAAATATTATAAGCAAATTCCATAAATGACTGTCAGTATAAAAGAAAATGTATGTTTAAGCACATCAAGTCTAAGAAAAGTGCTTTTAAAGATACAGATCAATTTTCAAACTGACCAATTGAAATTTGACTCGAAAACCATAGCAAAATTGACATCAACTAAAATTTTTAAAAAATAAAAATAAAAGCTAATTATAGAAAAATTTTCTAAATACATGAATTTACTGAAATAAAATTAATTTTTGAATCTTTAATAAAAAGAGATTTAACTATTGCTATATTATAGAATATACTTATTTGTTGAAAGGAAAGTTTTTCTGGTTTGTAGAACATTAAATTTATTTAAATAAATTTAATTTCCATCCAACTAGATATTTTAACCATCTTTTTTAAATTTACATGAGAGTATCAATCTGTGATATATTGGCTGTTTTAAGAAAAACAAGTTTGATAGATAAATCTACACTTTGTAGGTACTATAAATATAATAGATTGAATAATAAGCTTTTACTTTGAGGGAGAAAAAAAATTAATATTATGTGACCTATACTTCTGAGATTTCTCTAACTTTCCAAAAAATCATTTAATTTTACAAAAGAAAAATAACTCACAATAAAACTGAAAACAAAGAAATTATTGAAAGAAAGAGAATAAGTAAAAAATATTACTATATAGATAAAATAATAAAAACAAAAATCAAAACGATTGTTTTAATAACTGTATAGAGATTAGTTAAATAATAAAAAGTAATTAGTTCAAATTAATGTGCAATAAAATAGTCATTTCTTTTTATTGCAACATTAATGTCATTCAATCAGATTGCTACATTAATATTTTTTTAACCATATTTTTTCATCTTAATTTCAGTTGCCTTTTATCATAACTATTCAGACCATCATAACACAACCATAAGAAAGATGGTCAGGATAGTTGCAATAAAAGGTAACTGAAATAGCTGCCCAAAAATTCATAATTCACAATGCTTCATTTAATAATAAATTCAATATAAAATAACTTCATTTATACCATGTTATATGGTCTATATAACGTCTTGTATTTGTAGATGATTGTCAGAATTTCTTAAAGGAAATATTATCATTAATTTTTAAGCTTCATCTTAATTTCAATTGCTTTTTAATGCAACATTCAGGTCATTTTACATTCTTCAATATTTAAGAAAAAGGCATTGGAAATAAAGATTAAATAAAGTAAGTGTAGCTAAATTGAAATGAAAAAAGAAAGCAATAACAGTAGACTGTGGGATTTCAACCTCCCCCATTTAAAATGGGATCAGTTCAATGATGTCAATCTAATGCAGTAGGTAAAGAAGTAGTGTAGATGTGGCAGTCATGAGATGTAGACAGGATTTTGCACCATTTGAATGCAGAATCTTTGTTGTGACCAGAAAGAGGCAACACTATTGCCAAAGTGGCAACTGCTTTAGGTTGTTTTTACAAGCATATTTAAAAGGGTATACCAGAAATATGTGAATATTGGTAACCCAATAAAGGGGAACATTGCATCAACTCTCACTTCATTTTAATATGGGTGCAACTTAACACTGTACAGCATACACTGATAGGGTTTGGTAATTGTCAACCAAAATGGCTATCATTACTGACACGACACCATTGATTAATGCATTTAGGCATTGTATTATTGAACTGTCAATCATGACTGGTCAGATGTATCAAGTTTCCATGTCTTTTAGACAATCAAATTTGTGTATGAAGGAGACCAAATAAAGCTATGCATTTAACTTGTCAACAGGGTGTTGTGCAAACTGTGTAGATCTGTTCTGTTGGAATTAGCAAGTATCACTGATGAAACTGGATTCTTATCTTGACAAATTTAACATAAACAGATCTTGTGGCAGACCACTTGGTCCACCCAACTCTTTATGCACACCATTTCCCCCAGCCATGACGGTCTGTTCCAGCAAGACAATACACTCCTCCTCCTCATCACGCACTGGTGATGTGAAACAAGTTCCAGGAACACTTGAAAGACTTCCAGAAAATCCATTGGCCTCTCTAGATCTCCTCTAAAGCATGTCTGCGACATGTTGTAAATTTCATTAAATTCTCTACAGTCAAACCCAATAGACAAGTCTGTTATAAGAAGCCTTGAAACATGCATAGAGAAATATACCAACACAATGGCTCCAGCATCTTGAAGAATCCATGGCATAGTTACCATTGTCTCTTTTTTATTGATTCATTCAATTTTCTGCTGCTTAACCTTTTGCAGGTTATTTAAAATCAGAAAATATTTTTACATAAAAAAAAAAAAAGAAATTCTTACTAAGATAATAATGGTTTCAGTGATACAAGCCATACTAATTAATCTATAGCTGGAGGGAGAAGAGGTGGATTCAAGCATACAGCACCAGGTATTCCCAAGCAGTCACCCATCTAGGTACTGACCAGGCTTGATGTTGCTTAATTTCAGTGATCATATGGGAAATGGTGTTTCAAGATGTCCTGTCAAAGGGAAGAGCTATATGTTCTTAAGTTGCCATTTCTAAATCTGAACGATGACTAGTTTTCCATGGTTTAATCAGTAAGGTGCTGACCATGTCTGATATTTTTTCAAAAGGATGTAAGATTCAAGTTCATATTGTTGGTGGTTCCTGTTTTTTATTTCCAAATCATGTTGCTTGCATAACAGTCACAGTAAAAGCAGCTTGAGCATTACAAAAAAGAAAAAAAAATAGAAAAAAGGAAAACCTAGTAAAAAAAAAAATCTTAATAACAATTTTCCAAGAATTTCAGACTACAACTTTCTCATTTCAGAACAAGACAAATTCAAAAGGTTGATTGATTTGTTTTCTATAGCATACCTACCCTTTGTAGGTTATTTAAAGCCAGAAAATATTTTTAGATTGTAAGAATTTTTTTTTTTTAAAGATAATGATTTAAGGATACAAGTTTTACTAATTAACCCTTAGCTGGGAGGAGAAGAGATAGATTTATACATAATCAGAATTTGATAAACAAACAAGAAATTATAGTGGATATAAAGTGAGGGATCAATTCTATATTATAATACGTAAATGGGCCCCTCAATTTGTGGGGATAGTAGTTTCTATACATTCCAGAGAATGTAAATAAATCTAAGACATGCATGTGTATCAAATCGGTGTTTGATTGCTTGATTCATTTTCTACAGATTCTCAGCCATTTGCAGGTTATTTAAAGCCAGAAAATATTGTAATAATGTTTTGGTGATATGTTTTGCTAATTAACCCATAACTGGGGGGAAAAGAGGTTGATTAATACCGTCCCCAAGGGTAAGTGAATATAACAAATCCAACAGAAATTGGAACTCAGCACTCCAATTAACAATCTCGAGCCATTATCCATTATACCACCCATATGCCAAGTTTACAGCACCTGGTATTCCCAAACCAATGAGTATACAAGGAGTCATTGAAAAGTCCTTGGATTGACCCAGTTCTCAAAATCATCCCAACAATCATATTTTTATCTGTATTTTTTTTTTTTTTTTTTTTTTGAAAAGTTGAAATTCCTGATACACCCCTTTTATAAGACTTAAAAAAAAAACAAACAAAAAAAAAAAACATTTTTTTTATCAGTAATCCAAAAAGAATAAGTATTAAAATTTATTACATTTCAGTCACACTGAAATATAACTACTTTGCAAGAAAAAAAACATTTTTGTTTAATTTTAAAATCGATTTTTAGTTATAAATATAAAAATACTTTTTCAGTGATTTATGATGATAAAAAAAGTATTAATTTACAAAAAGGTAGGTGGTTAAATGTAAACAAACTTATTGATATTATGTTTCTTTTCTAAAGTCTTCCATGCATCAGCAAAAGCAACTGGTAAGCCAAAGATGAGTACAAGACAAGTGTTAGTAGCAGCAGCAGCAGCTAGCAGCAAAAAGTGCCAGCCATTATATTAAAGAGAAATGATCATCTAAACAGATATGGATTCTCACCTATTATTTTCCTTGGTCTTAACAAGTTGTTCTGCATGATGTTTTAGCCAATCTTCCAACTCTTTTTTGGCAGCTTCACGCCACTGGTTATTCTTCACCTCTTCTTCAGCATCTAAAAGGAAAATCAGTCATGAGAAACTTTTGAGAACTGAATTTAAGAATATTTGCAAAAAAAGCTTCTTTAATTTGGTGCTGTCAAGTAAAAATAATTTTATATATACCATATTTGATGGCATATAAGACAGCCTCATCAAATTTACATTTACGTTTTAGTGCCTGATAAATAATTCCATTTATAAGACCCAGGAAATATTGTTTAGCCCTTTTGGAAGAAATACATTATGATTTTGTTATCAAATAATTCTTCGTTTGATGGACTGATAGCTGAGCAATCAAATTAACTCCAAACTTCTGTTGAGTTGTATAAGAGGGATCTTTATGATCTCTTCATATAAAGTCACTCTTAAAAGACATTAGGGACCCCAAACTATGTAATAATTCTAATATGTCACAGTATGTGGGTTAGGAAAAAAAAAAAAAAGAAAAAGAAAAGAAAAAACAACATATGAGCAAAAGACCTTGCCCCGCTTACGTGTTAAGTACGGTTTAATTAGACAATATCAATTATTGCAACGAAAAGTGAAATTAAAGTTAAACCTTTAATGAAAAATTGTTTTTAAACCTTTCACTCTGTTCAACATTTTAATTCAACTTTAAATGAGTTATTTATTTAATTTTTAATCTTATATAACTACAGTAGTTACTACTTGTTACATCATGTTATGATTCACTGAGATTGAATAACAGATGGACACATGTACACCGTGCTTTATTTATATAGATATGTGAGTGATAAAGTGAAGAATTAATAGATTTATTTTTAATCTGACTTTTGATTACTTCAGTGTTTCTGTTTGCTGGACCCAATTTCAAGTCACATAAAGGTGAGATGTCATTCACAACAGTCAAACTGAATTTTTTTAAAACACACTCCAATATACGAGATCCCCTATGGAGAAAGATACTCATTTCTCTATTTAACATTTGATACATCCATTTTATTATATAACAACTCCAAAACTTTGATGTCTTTCTTTGCATTGAGTCCTTATATTTTGGTGTTAAAAGTGACTTGAAATTTGTTCCAGCAAAGTAGGAACACTGTCATTAGCCAAAGACATATAATTACTAAATTCTGGAGAAACTTAACAGGGTCAGGATCCAGTTTGCAATGTAAATTCTTTGTAAACTGATCCCCCCACCCCGAGGAAATCAAAACAATATATGTTCATACTATATGATTTCTTAAAAAAAAAAAAAAAATTTTGAAATTCATAATCTGAAGTTTTTTCCCCTCCATATTTCTATTGAATTTATGAATTTCAAGAAAGTTATTTTTTTTTTTTTTTTTTTTTAAATTTCCTGAAATCAAGGTGAGGAGGAATCAATTTTTTTCTCCCTTATATTACCTGTGTACTCTACAGTAAGTCAGCTCAAGCAGAGGGTTTCCATGCTGAATAGACAGCTGAATAAACAATGGATTAAACAGAGACAAATTACTCACAATACAAGACAAACAAATTGCAAGTAAATGTTGCATAGCTACATTGAATACTTATCAATATGCTGGCCATTGTTTGTGCCATATTTCTTTGTTATTTTCAATTCCTTTCAAGATAAACTTAATAATGCCACAAAACTTTAACATTCCATATCCCAGCTAAGAATATTAATGGTACAATTAGTTCATGTTATACAAAAAATTTTTCAATAAAAACATCATAACATTACCTTTCTGTTCAAGCCTTTTCTTTTGTTCTTCCCTCCAAATTCTAATTTTCTCTGGTTCCTGACGATGTTTGTCAGCTTGTGCAATTGCAGCATATCCACCACCATCTGTAGGCCCATTAGTCTGAAAAGAAAACCAAGGTGTTGGATCACTGTTTCACTCTCAACAAGGCCAGTCACACTTGCATGCAGAGTCCCTTTTGTCTGCAGTATAAACCTCGACATTTTTCAACTTTTCCTTCCAGTCAAAGTTGGTTGGCAAAGTCTTTTCAATTTCACAGCATTAAAATTATTGCTTATTTTTATCTTGCATTCACATATATAGCAGTTTGCAGATGATGCCTACTTTTTTTTTCTCATCTAAGATTCTAAAAATGAAATCCCCAAATATTTACTTAATCATCTCCAGTAGGTGAAAAGAAATTCTAGTATTAACTTTAACGAGGACAATTCTCAAAATATTTGAGTAGACACAAATAGTGTTACAATTCTTGCAATCATGCAGAAGCTATGCTAGAATGCTAGTCAAGAAATGATTGCTCTCAGCTGGGCTCATGGTAAATAAAGTTTGATATTGCGGAAATCCAAAGCTTTCTGTGATCCCAAAATAAACATCAATGGGGAAGCATTTTGGTGTGCTATATATGCATTTAAAATGAAATTATATTTTCATTCAAGCATGTTTGGTTGAATTAATATGGACATGCCTGTTTATTTTTATTTTAATCCTCTCAAATTCTCAGATTAACTTCTAAATGTTGATATTAAATTCATTAAGGAAGGCAGTGTGTTTATTTTTTTTTTTTTTTTCATTTCTTTTATTTTCCCAAGTACTTTCAATCTCATCCAGGATCATCTTCAGGGGTGAATTATATACTCCACTCATACCAGTAAAAAAATTAAACTAATTATATACTATAATAATTTTAATACAACCAACTTAATCGTCCGCAATAGCTCTTCTCTGTCAACTAATGTTTTGAAAAAGATAAACATTGTATATCAATTTAAATGTTCTTTGGGAGATTGTATCTCTGACAAAAAAGTAAATATATATGTTGGTTTCATGACAACAACATTATCAAGTAGACTTACATATGTCAGATTAAAGTTCTATTGCACATTTAAAGGAACATTCCTGTCTACATTCACAATTGAGAGAAATATTAATTGACAATACAAATATACTCCAGCATGAAAATAAAAAACAAAAAATTCAAATTCTTGAAGCACTCTATATAAGAAAAATACAACCAACACTAAATAAGGTTAATTATGAGTTTAGCAACAATGTTTTAAAATGTCTGACAGCAATGTTTAAAAACACTTAAATTGTAACTTAAAAAAAAAAATTACTACATTTATATAAATTAAAGTTACCTCCCTTGGATAAACCATAATAGATTTAACAGTTAATTTTTAAATTAATTATAACAGAGCATGTTCATATGTATCTATAATTATAACAGAGCATGTTTCATGCACATTTACAAAAAACCCACAACTATCAATTACATTAATTTTTTGTCTTAGCAATTTCCTGCTGAAGATGATCTTGGATGAGATTGAAAGTACTTGGAAAAAAAAAACAAAAAAAAAAACTATGGCAGTTTCCTTAATGAATTTAACATCAATATTAAGTTGATCCAAGAATTTGAGAGGATTAAAATAAAAAGAGAAATATGTCCAGATTATTCAAACAAACATGCTTGAATGAAGATATGCTGCATATATGAAAATAGAATTGCAACACTCTGAAGGACAATGTTGATTTTGACCCTGTAGATATTGATAAAATTTTCAAGGTCACCAGCCATCATGCAACATCACAACACTAATACTAATGTACTGTCTATATCTGTGCCTTTGATGATGACACATAATGCAATAAGATTCAGTGTGGTGAGTCTGGACAAATGACTTCTTCAGTTAGTCCACCTACAATTCATGCTGTATTGCACAAGCAGGGACAAGAAGTATGGTATAATGTAAGGCAGGATGCTATTCTCATGATGTTCAGTTAGAGTCATTTGTAAAGAGTCATATTGTGGCTGGATGGTCATTTTGGAGAACCAATGTAAACTTTAGATATAGTGTTATGTTTGATGTTGGTAACAATGGTCAAATGAATTCTACACCTGTAGACCAGGCTCTGGATGAGTGCAGAGTATGGACATTCACCACGATTCATGCATTGTAAGTGCAGCAGTGGAAAAATACAATGCATTCACAGCCCAGATCAGAGCAAATGTGAATCTGGTGTGTTAATATGGGCCACTGAAGATAATTTGCAACAGGATCAGTAGCCAGAGTTTTACTTATGCCACAACAATGTTGATAACATCCTCAGTGGTGTTGTGAGGTTACCTATCGGACAATGATGCCTTTATGCATGTGATGGCCGTTTACATATGCAACATACAGCTGGAAAATGACATCTTTAGTGTATTTAGCCATGACACACAAGTCCAACTCCTGAAATCATGGTGTTGTATATGATAAATTACAATACTTGCTCACTTTCATTGTTTGTAAAAGCATGCCCATTCAAAATATAGTTCAATCTGTTTAGCTGCCATTTCTGCAACAGGAAGGTTTGGTTTGGTTTGTTTTACAGCATATCAACCTCAATGGGTTATTTAATGCAGACAATGCAACAGGAAAGTAACAGAACAGAAAGAAGTATAATGCCTACCTACAGATTACCCAGATTAATCAACATACTCTGTAAGATGTTAGATAACTGTCCTTTATTCACCAGACATTTCTACCATTTAAGATCTTTGGGACATGAGATGACAAATGACTCCTTCAGTTAGTACACCTACAATTCATACTCTATTAAGGTTGATATGCCATAAAACAAACCAAACCAAATGAAATAATATATTGCAAGATAGTATTCTCCAGTTGTATAATTGCATGCATTTGAGATTACAGATGATATACCGTATATTAATATAAGGTCTGGCTACAGGCGAGAGAGCTCTTATTTTCAAACTTTTAATCCATATACGTGGTCATTTAACATAGGGTCTTTACCATAAAAAATGTATCTTCATACTTTTATAGTATCTTGCTTTTGTTTAAGGGGTTCACTATTTGCCCATAGCTAGGACCCTAACAGGTGCTACCACCCTGTCTCAGAGTGGACCTGGAAACAACAGCAATTAAGATGTGGTTAAAAGCTCCTTAAAACCTCCAATCTCCTCCTGATCAGGTGTTGCTGCCAGATGTAATTTTGGAACTTGTGCAGGTTTTAATCAATATGTGTGGTCATTTAATATAGGGTCATATTAGAACCTGCACAGGTGATCAATTCCTATAATCCATCTATATTACCTGCGTGTTTAATTTTGAGTACATTGAAACATGTTGCAATTTTCAATCAATGCGTATAGGAAGGCGGGAGGAGTCAAAGGTCATTGGCCCAACCAAGAAAACCCCCCACACACAAAATCTGATATTTGAAAAGTGAGTTGGGCTGAGAACTTTACAGCACTGTGTGTGTGTGTGTGTGTGTGTGAACTTCTAAATAACTTAGTCAAAGAATTCCATTTTATAAAATGTACATTTTGTTATTGTGATGTATATTTTAAATAAGAGTTATTACTATTTTTCCAATGGAATGCAGTAATAAAGCCAGACGCACTCCTATGCATCAACATCAAATATACAGCCTGAAGCAATACTAACATGCACTATTGATTTGAAAGCACATTGTTGCAACACCACTTTTCCTTATATGCCAAAAAAACAAACTGATCAACAAATTGGTTGGAAAAAAACCAATATGTTAGTTTGTATAAATATGCCTAAATGCAAACAGACAGGAAACATTTTATTCTTTTTAATTTTATTTATACATATATTTTTAACAGAATATAAAAAATACAATCTAAACTCTTGTCAGGCAGAAATAAATATTTCAAATAATTTGAAAGATAAAAAAAAAAGAAAAAAAAAAAGAAAATACACACAGCATTCAGGCCTATTAATCATCAAGTGTGTTTAAGCCATTTTAGAAACTGTTTCAATGCATTTTGACATAAATTGTCTGAAGAATATTACAACATCACTTTTTATGTTACCCACTCTCAGGCAGATGCAAGTCTTTGGACATTAGAACTATCCCAACAACTTTTGCAATGAGGAACTAAACAGGAAGTCTTGGGACCTTGAGGTAATCAGGAGCTGGTGCAGGGCTGGGCTTAATTGTTGTAACAAAATCTCTTAATAAAAGTTTCTTTACTAATTATCACTTTTGTCCACATTTGATTAAATCCATTTATATATTTAATCAATTAATGGATTTTTTTTAATTTGACTTTATTTCTCATTAGTAGGTTTTCTTTTAATGTCTATACATGTTGGTGTAGACCATCTTGTTTCACCCCCACCCACAGTGAAATTAACATCAGTTTCTTAAATAAAATTTTCAAATTCCAGTAGACATTCACTGTTAAAAAAAGTTTACCTATTAAAATAACATAGTATTAGAGTAGATATTAATACACACTGATTAAAAACGGAATGTATATTCAAATATGGGTATCCACTAAAAATAACATTTGAAGTAGTAATAAAAAAAAATTTATATAAGAGAACCAGTACTTTCTGTTGGTCTTGTACAGAAGAGAAACTTGCAATTGCTACATACAATCCATCCAATAAACTATTGAATAGCGGAATAGAAATTTTGTACTTGTGCAACAAAAGAAAGAAATATTTGCTATGCCACCAATGAGTGATATGCAAATTGAACATTGTTATTTAACTAACCATATTGAAGCACTGATTTCCAAAAAAAGAACCCGATGTTGTGAAACCATATTTGCTAACAGGTGCTTCCAAATTATATATAACACGCACACAGGGATGCTGAAAAGTTCTTAGTCCACCCACTTACCAAATATCAGACCAAACACCAGAATTTTTTTAAATTCAAGAGCTTTTCAACCTTGAGAAAGAGGACATTTTATACACACATTCACAAATACTGTTTATATATATATATATATATATATATTAAAACACTGAAAATAATTTGTATTATTAAAAATAAATAAATACTTAAATTCTAATTTATAATTACACAAAAATATACCCTATCTTATAAAAACA